GCAGATGAGGTCCGGAAGCGCGTCATCAACCTGATGGACGAGATCACCTACTCCGCCTACATGTACACGGCCCGCGGGCTCTTCGAGCGAGACAAGCTCATCTTCCTGGCACAGGTGGCGTTTCAGGTGATGTCTGGCCTCAGCGCCCAAAGTGGGGTCCTTGGGCCGGCAGCCAGAGCCCTCCAGGAGTAGGGGCTGGGGGGAAAGGCGGGGAGCAGGTGGGGGGTGCTTTTTGGAAATGCAGAGTCCCAGGCCACGGTCCAGACCCCTATGGATCCAAACCTGCACTTTAACAAAATTCCTGGGTGATTGATGAAGTTTGTGGCTTCATCACACACCTAGGCTCCTGAGTTGATGTCAGGGAAGGTATTGCAGTGGGAGCCGTTTGGGCGGGTGGGTGGGGGAGGTGGTTCAGTTACAGAGAATTTACGAGAAAACGTCATTCTGTTACGTTGAAGTGGTGCTGAGTCAACGGTCCCACCCTAGTGCTTAGTCTGCTGTGGGTTTGGAACAATGGTTCTTAAGGAAGTACAGGTACCACTGAGTACACATCCCTCCTATTCATGCTGACGGATTTAAATAATTTGCTCACCACACAAAAGGCCAATAAATCAAGAGATGAGGTGCTAGGGTAAGGAACAGCAACTTTATTCTGAAAGCCAGCAGACCGAGAAGATGGCAGACTAGTGTCCCAAAGAACTATCTTCCCTGAGACAGAATTCAGGCTGCTTTTACACTAAAAGGGGAGGGAGGTGTGGCTGGTTGTTGCAAACTTCTTGGTGCTGGAATCCTTTGTTCTTGGAGTTATCCATGTAGGTGTAGTCACAGCGTTCCTGTAAACCTCCAATAAGACGAATGTGACTCCCTATTCTGCAGCTTTTTAAGGAAAAGCGTTACACCTTTAAAGGTCAGACCAGAGACTGGGCTCTCCTGTATATTTGAGACCATAGGCAACCTTCTTGTACAAAAGGTACAGAGCCGGCCCAGGAGACAGAGCACAGGGTTAGAGCCAAAGGGACAGATCTAATGTGGAGTCAGGTTCTTCTCTGTTACAAATGTATACAGCCAAAAGAGAGCGATTGGAAGCACGTATTCAAACAAACACACGCAGAGAAACCCTCACGGAGGCATTATTCACAAGAGCCAAAAGGTAGAAACAGCCCACGTGTGCAGCGACAGGTGGTGGGTAAGCAAGGTGCGGTCCCTCCACACAGCGGCGCGTTGTCCGTGCATAGGGGAGTGAAGCCCTGACACGTGCTGCAACACGGATGAGCCTTGGAAAACATGCTCAGCGAAAGCAGCCAGATGCAAAAGGCCTTGGATTGTGCAAATCCCTTTCCGGGAAGTATCCGAAATGGGCAAATCTTTAGAGACAGAGGGCCCAAGGCTGGGGCAGGAAGACGAGGGCGAGACTGCTGCAGGGTCCAGGGCTTCCCTTTGCGGTGATTAAAAGCAGTTCTGGCTCCAGACAGTGGTGATGCTTGTAGAACGGTGTGCTCTGGATTTTAGACTCTTAATAGGATGAAGATGGCACACTTTTACATTATGTGTGTTTTACCACAATTAAAAGCAAAGAAAGGTGCTGACAGGTTCCGCCCCGACCCCAAGGGGCAGGCCAGTGCTTCCGCTGCAGGCGGGGCTGTGAGCCCCTCTCTGCCCGACCTGTGCCCGGGGCTGGGGCGCTCCTGCCAGGGGCTGTCCCCCGCACAGCACTGCTGTGGGACAACATCTCAGTGCGCCCACGCCCCTCAGGTCTTGTCCATGAAGAAAGAGCTGAACCCGGTGGAGCTGGATTTCCTCTTGCGGTTCCCGTTCAAGGCTGGGGTCGTGTCACCGGTGGACTTCCTGCAGAATCAGGCCTGGGGCGGCATCAAGGTTGTGCTCAGACTTGAACGCCGCGTGCTCCCCATGCTGCGGGCCTTTCCTGCTCACCCTGGGCTCGTTCATGGGGCTCCCGACCGCAACACTCAGAGGCTCGATGTGGCCCCAGGGGAGGACGGGCTGCCCGCTGGCTCGCGGGGACTGCTGTCCTCCTGGGCCCAAGCAACGTGCACCGTCAAGTCCTCGCGTGCTCCCTGCAGGTGGCAGGCTGGGCCCCAGGGTGTGTCCAGAGGCCGCCCCTCCCCTCTTCCAGGAAAGTGCCCAGTGTCAAGGTTACTCCTCAGGGCCCCAGGACCTCACTGTTTCAGTTCAGAAAGACCAGAGGAGGGTAGTCCCCTGGGATGAGCAGGGTCCCTGTTCCAGGGTCACGTCCCCGGACCAGACTCTCCCTCCCAGGGCCCAGCCGCTTTCTCTGGTTTGCTGGCGATGACACCAGCAGCTCATGGTTTTAGCGACAGGCCTGGCGGTCATTCTTTTCCCGGAGCCCAGGGGAGGGCGCCCACTGGGACCGGGGAGAGCTGAAAGGGTCGTCCGCCCCCAGGCCCTCGCGGAGATGGACGAGTTCAAGAACCTGGACAGCGACATCGAGGGGTCCGCCAAGCGGTGGAAGAAGCTCGTGGAGTCGGAAGCCCCAGAAAAGGAGATCTTCCCCAAGGAGTGGAAGAACAAAACGGCCCTGCAGAAGCTCTGCATGGTGCGGTGCATGCGGCCAGACCGCATGACCTACGCCATCAAGTGAGTGTCCCCACCCGCCCGCCCCGCGCTGCCTGCACACAGTGCCCT